AGTCTGGAGCACCCGAGACATTTCAACGTATCCAAAGCTCGACGATGTTACGCAGTACTTTACACGGTTGCCAGATTCATACAGTCATTGTATTCTTGTATTTACTTTATACACCTGCAGGTTGCGTCCGGGACTCTAGGAACAACGCTACGGGAGGGTGGCATTTTACGTGTAGACAAAAAGCACGCGGGTACGGCTGTACGAAGTGTGTAAAGTACCTAGGAGTCCGTCGGCGGCGCTGCCGTCGCCTACGCGTTTGCATTCAATCAGCTGCGCTCTGAATGGTACTCGGAGACAAAATTTGAGTGACTTTTTGTTCCAGTGTTTTTGTTTCTCATTCATTTTTTTTTCGTTTCGTTATTTTTCACTCCACGTCGCTTCAGTTTCTCGCGTTACACGGCTTTCTCTCGACGTTGGAAATGAAAAGCACGGCGAATCGATTTTTGCACAATTTTTTACGTCCCTGCCTGCGAGACCCATGGGGATGACCATGGATCATCTAGAAGTTTCAGACTGATTTCTTACAGTTATATCGATGATACGTGGTATCTGATGGGTATGTGAAAAGGATTCTGCGTCGCGACGCGAGGCGTCCTTTTTTGTGCACGTAACAGTGGTACAGCAGGAAATATTTCGTTGAGCAACCGAAAACTGACGAGGGTAAGGTCGGCGAAGCTGGATGTGGGGGGAGACGAATGGAGAACTCGGTACCAAAGAAAAAAAGTTGCGCCTTCGTATTTCCTGCGAGGGCGTTTTCCTTTTTTTTCATCCATTTTTCTCTCTTCCTTTTTTCTACCCCGCTCTCACTTCAGCGTCCCTCTGAAAACTCGTTCTTACACTGTTACCCTTGTTCTGCATGTTTTTTTTTTATCCGTTGAATCCACCTTTTTCGCAGCGTGCGCGACGCAGCCCGGCTCCCTCCTCTGGTACGGATATAATAATAACATTGGGTTTAACGTGGGTGGGAAATTACGTAGGCAGCAGGCAGGACTGGAGTACGCACTGTTATTGTGCCGAAGCACCTAGGAGCGTGTAGCTTTCCTTTAGTCTCGTCGGGACATCTATCAGACTCGGTGCCCAAACAATTACGCTGGGAAAATCGTCGACGGAAAGGAGAATTAAAGTGCCGTGAAAAACGAGCCCGAACACTCGGTTCGCCGAACACGAATTGTATCTCTTGCGATGCCATGTGGATACGGCTCTAAGGGTGGAGAATGTTTGCAAGGTGAACACAGCCGCTTCTGTTACTCGCGGATGACGTGGCGAGCTGAACAAAAATTTGCGTAACGATTCTTCCTGCGGCATCTTTCTCATTATTGTCATCCATGTCGATGTTACTTTTAGGAGCGTCGTGGATACTGGCGTCTCGTCAATTACATCCGGTACTTCTGTCCCATCCGGTATAATTCGATTGAAACCCTCTGCGATGGTTCTTCAAGTCAGGTTCTACGTTCTAACCCTTGGCGTATAGGGGTGGTTGGGTTTTTGGGCTGGGCGAAAGAGGGGGGCGGGTTGGGATTGTTGATGGCGACGGGAAGGAGGGTTGTTGCTTTTTACGAGGCGCAAACTCCGAAGTGGGTCAAACAATTCGCGGCCTGAAGCATCCACGATATTTCCGGTTCTCGGTTCATTGCTCAAAATCCTCACGTCGCTTCTACTACAACTGAATTGCAATAATTGTCCTGGTTCCGTTTAAAAAATTTTCCAAAAATCCCTCTCTCCGGGTTCTCTAATCCCGCGTCGAGATCAGTGATTTTTCTCGAACCCCCTACGACCCTCAGCCAAGTGTGACTGTCGTGTATCTTTCGGTTTTCCGGATTGGCCAATTTCCAGGGCGGAGGAAAATTGGCGCAGAGCTTGATGATGAGGAACGAGGTGGGTGAAGGGGGGAAGGGATGATGTGGGTAACGGGATAGAGAATCGGGAAGGAGGCGAAGTGAAGCTGATGAGGGGTCCGGAGGGAGGAGCAGGGCTTCGGGGAGGGATGGGGCAGGAGGATGGTTTCTAAACCGTCGTAACGTCGGGAGCCAATGAGCGTTATGGGTTGATGAGAAACAGCCAATAACAATCGGGAGTAGGGCGGAAGCGCGCGTAGGATGGGGTCGCGCTGAGGTCGGCCGGGTTGTAACTAGGGTGGAGCCTACGCTAGGTTCCTGTCGACGCCCTACTAGCCTGTGCCTGCCTCGTAGCCTGCTTTTCTGATCAGTCGGTTGCCTGCCTGCTTCCCTGACCAGTTGGTTGCCTGCCTGGCTGCCTGACTGCCTGACTCTCTCGACTAGCCTGCCTCGCTGCCTGGCAGCCTGCTTGCCGCTACTTCCTGGTTTCCCTATATTGATTTTCCAACGTCCCGTGCGAGCACGAGTGAGTTAGCGCGATGTGGGAAGTCACACGAGGGAGAGAGAGAGATGGAGCCAGGTAGAGAGGGACGCGGTGGGTTAGCACGGGGGTGCTTGAGGTCGGAGTGGGTGCAGGTTGCGCGAGTCTACGAGGAAGAGGGACACCCTGAGGGAGAGAAGCGTCGGAGTGGGGGCTGGATAGGAGAAGGGGAGAAGTTGCCCGATTTCGAAGGGGTTGCAAAAATGTTCTGGCTATCTTTTTTCTATCCCCTCGGTACCATCCACGGCAACAGTTTCCGGAGCTTCTGTTTCCCTGGACGTGAGCACCTAGCATCCTGAACTCCGCCGCCGGGCGAGGCCTCGTTTTTCTCCCGGCCAAATAAGTGTCACGGTCAATGCGCGCCACCCTGCTTGTTTCGACCCCCTGCACTCACCACACGTCCATATGCCCCTGTGTTTCTGCCTTCGGGAATATTTCCTTCCTTCCTTCCTTCCTTCCTTCCTTCCTTCCTTTATTACTTCCTTCCCTGCATTCTTCTTTGATTCCCTCAACTTCTGGCTAATGCCGCCATCCCCATCAGCCTGGATCCCTTCTCGGGGTCAGGTCAGCCCGGCCAGCTAGTCAAACGAACCACGTGCGACCTTTTTTCTCTGGGTCGGCAATGAGCATCTTCATCTCGGGATCATCTAGATAATGTCTATTATATCTTTAACTTAAAGTATGAAGATCCATATTACTCACAACAATTTTTTCATCTCCCGTTCGAATTCCCTACGTATTTTTACTCCACACGTGCTTTGCTGTTTATTTTTTGTTTGACTACGCCACCCTGAGTTCCACACTCTATAACGCACTGTACTGGAAGACCGTGCTCGGCTTGTCAGCATCAAGAGAAATAGAGTGAAATTGAGGAGGAAAAAGAGAATTTTCAGAGTCGAAGTGGATAGAGAGTGACTGGCGAGTGGTGGAGAGTTGCTAGTGGTCAGGCGAGCCTGTCAGTTCACCTCTAATGGGAAGTCCGGGGACTCTAGGAACTCGAAGAACTCCGAGAATACTGCCAAAGAGCATTTGTATGTGTCCTCGGCCATTTCTCTTAGTCGCCGCCGTTATTTTACGTTAGAACGGCCGTTTTTCTCAATTGGTCAGCGTCAAACGGTCTCTGGCTTTCAGAGGAGGTCGTTGCACCCACCGGTAGCTGGGGAGCCGTGCGAAACTCCAGCAGCACGTAGTCGGCTCCTGGTAGAGCCCATCAACCCCCTAGATTTCAAGGATTCCCTTCCTACCCCTCAGGTCGGACCTTTTCTCGCCAAACTGCCCCTATAAGTCGTATCGGGTCAGGACTCAGTGCAAGCTCACGCGCCTCGTTCGTCGTTCGACTTTACCATGTACAGAAATTCCACACGAATCCTACATTGATCTCCCGATATCCAGGATATGGCTGCTTGACGGCATTCTCTACGACGTCGAGCATCGCGACGCCGACCTTCGCGACATTCTTTGCGCTCCAAGACGCGAGTTCGTCAGTCTGGTCATTACACGTGAGGTCTGACGCATCCTAAGAATTAGGTGATATTCGGTAATTAAAACAAAAAAAGAAGAATGAAAATCAATGTCACGAAACCACCCTTGTAGACAGACAATAGAAGCGAAGGTAGGTATAAGGGTTGAGAGGGTAGTAAAAACTTGGATTCTCAGGATCTTAAGGGGGTTGGACTCGACGCGGGGTTATGGAAGTAAAACGTATAGACGTCGAAGTTGGAGTTTTGGCATTTTAGGAAAGTTTCTCAGTGCCGTAGGAATGCGTGCTGTGGGGTTGCCCGAGAACAGAGGGGTGGACTTTTGAATGGTTCTTCGCATTAACTGCACCCCCGTTCTTGCAAGTGGTCTATTACCAGGCTGTCTCTCTCTTCCGTGCACAGTTCATTGCGCTCGTTCGCTCACTCGCTCCCTTACCGACTCTCCCCAGTTCGCCAGAGTGAACCGACCGAACCGACCGAACCTCATCCCCGAGAGTCCAGTTGCTCCGATCTGCGGATCTGCCTTTGCTCTTCCGTCTTTCCGTCCCTCTGTCTTAACGTCTGTCGGCCATCCCACCGGTCGGTCCTCTTTAAAGCCAGAGGGTGGTCCTTCTGTCCGAGCGCTGGCTCATCTCTAAAAGTCTTTTCTTGACCAGAAGAGCTCATTTCGATTAAGGATAATAGTGGCAGAAATGAAAGACCGTAGGAGATCCGCGGTCCGTATAGCTTAGGTACTTTATTTTTAGAACGGCAGGAAGTCTGCTGCGGTCAACTTTACCTCTCTTACTTTCTCCCTCTTTCTCCCTCTCTCTCTCTCTCTCTCTCTCTCTCTCTCTCTCTCTCTCTCTCGCTCTATGTGCTTCACGTGCACGCGTCCCTCCTGGTGGTAACGAGCGCGGCGCCGCACACGAGATACGCTATCGCGTCGCGTTTTGCCACGCGAGCCTCTGAAACCGAAGGGCCTTCGCTTGAAAGCCAGAAAGTATAAAGAGAAAAGGACATAGATGGAAATGGCTAGGGAAAAAAGGAGAGAACAAAGTGAACGAAACGACAAGTAGTTTCGTGCTTTCCTCAAATATTATCTTCCGTCCGATACTCGGACTCTCCAAGATGTCTCTAACGGGATTCCACTTGTTCCGATTGCAGGAACGAATGACAGCCAATGGGAATTCGCCGTTGGACAGTATGCGGACCCTCGAGCATTATCTCAGCGACATCATGAGAGCCGGCGCAGCCGACACACCGGAACACCTCAAAGGTGAGTTACCTCTGGACCAAAGTTCCCAGCATCCCACAAACAAAGTCTTGCGATAACAATATATCTCATTTGTATAACTATATGTATACGTCCACTAACGATTGCTCTCGTGCTCGTCACTTTGATTCGAAGCACGCGTTAACGCGTGGTGACTGTAAGAGACGCCTCAAGAGTATTGGCAGCTAAGGGGATAGACGATAGGAATGAGTCGATGACGTCAGCATTGACAATGTGTCTCGAAAAGATTTTCGCAAATCCGCGACAGCGAGCCAATACGGAAACTCGATTCAGCAGGCGAATCCCTGTCCCTTCCATTTTCACCTTCACCCCCACGTCAGGCCTCAAGACGGCAATTCCACTGGTGACGTAGTTGAGCAAAGTGCCGCAGGACTTGCGTCCCTCCCGACTATTTCACGTTTATCCTTACTAGGTGTGCTCACTCATCTCCACCCTTAGACCCCTCCCCTCGTTCCACCCCATCGCTCCATCTCGAAAGATATCGTCAATCGATCGGTCGATCTTCCACTCTCCAAATTGTCACGGCGACCGCTCCCTCATCCTCGAGGAATTGGCACGGTATCCTCTTGGTGTCTCATCCCTGAAACTGCGTAACTCTGGACCCTCTCGTTTCTAGCCCCTCCAACTTTCTTCCTCGTCCCTCTGATTTTCCCTCTATTTTTTCTACTTCTTTAGTCTTACTCGATATCAGCCACCCCGGGTGGCCGATCGATGAAATCGAATCGGCTTCTTT